CCCGATGCCGGTTGCTGCCAGGGCTCCGAGCAGCCACCGCAGCCTCTCTGCCCCCCGCCCTCCTCTCCCACTTCCGAAAGTGCCCCCACGGAGGCCGGCGGGGACGCGGTCCGAGCGGGGAGCACCGCCCCCTCGCCTGCTCAGCAGCAGCATGAATGCGGCGACGTGGACTGTCAGGAGCCCCGCGAAAACCCCTGCGACTGTCATAGGGAGCCGCCCCCCGAAACCCCAGACATCAACCAGCTGCCGCCATCCATCCTGCTCAAGGTGGGTCTGGGCGAATGGCGCAAAGATGCGCGCTTTTCTCCAACCCCAGCCTCCTTCTCAGAGGTTTTCTTTACCCTCCTCCTAAGTGCGGAGGAGGGGGTTCCCTGACAGCCAGAGACGTCCAAAGGGGCGATTGGGAAGCCAATGGGAAGGATGCTTATGGCCTGTTTTTTTTTTTTTTTTTAAAGTAGAAAAACTTGGAGTCTACTGCATGTCTTTTAATAGCTTGAGTTACGCACAGTCCAGGGTTCATCTATTATTAGATTCCCAGCCGAATGATTTAGAACCTGGTTTTCTGTGAAATACTTTTATCAGTCGAGAAATTTGCACTTACTGGGTAAAGACTTTGTATATTAGTATTCGGAAGTTTTCAAACTACTTCAGGGTTTGAGAACTGCTAGTGGATGTCAATAACAGTTAACTTTTCTTTTGAGAATTTACTGTGATCAGGCACTGTGCCAGAGTTTTACATACGGAATATTTCATTTAATCCTCCGATTACTGCTGTGAGATAAATGTTAACGTCCTTAGTTTATACAAGAAGAAACTGATACTTCAGTACTATGTGCCTGCAGTAGTAACTCATGCAGAAGTGGTATTTGCTCTATGGAGCTTACAGCCTAGTGAGGCTTGAAAAGATTATATGACTTGTCCAAGGTCACACACAGAAATTAAGAGACATATCTGGGGAATTTAGGCCTGCTTGACTTGAAAACCCTTTGTTTATGCTGTGTTGTATTAACTTCCTACATTTTAACCCTTACATAAAAGCATACATACTACCAGAAAGTAAGGACAAATGCATTTTTTGTTGGGGGATGGGTGTGTGGAGAAGAGAGATGGGTGTCTTGTGGGAGCTTTGTCTCACTTTTAAGTACCAAATAACATTTGCGATTTTGTCAATGCTACTGATATACTTAATTATGTGATAGAGTTTGTATTAAGTTGTTATTAACAAGTTATTTCTTTCATTTTCTCTCTTCTTCGCCCCCCAGCCCATTTCTGGAGTTTAATAACTGTAAACCTTTTTCAGTGTGGATGATATTTAAGACCAGCCAAAAATAACATAGATAAAATTTGGCTACTTTTATTGTTCCTGAAGTAACTGTCATTGACTAAAATTGTGACTGTCACCAGTATACTTTGTTTGGATATAAATAATCCTGTATTTTTATCTGTTTTATTGTGATATTAATGTTCTTGTAAATAATATAGCAAAAGAGTGGGAAAGCTTAAATTTTCCTTGTGTCAAACGTAGTGATTTAACTCTTATGGAGGTAATGTTTGTTGGAGGAATAATTGCCTCCTTTTTTGTTCAGGATGTGCATTCCAGAGCAGAAGGAACTTTCTTAAGTCCTTTAAATCAGTGGGTGACATGAACAAATAAAATACAAACAAATATTTGGTATAGAAACTTGATGGCTGTCTTGTTATTTGGCAAGTAAGACTGTTTAAAAACAAACGAAAACAAAGAACAAGTACTTTCTGCTTTCTATCTAAACCATTATTTCATGAAGTATAAAACATTTTAACATAAATAAAAAAAGGACATGATCTCATCATAAAGAGAATCCCTAAAAGATAACTTATTTTAACTGCTACATTATTCCTTTTCATATTTTTGCTGTGGAATGTTGAAAACCTTGGTCTAAGGGGCAGTTAGGAATTACTCATTAGACTTGGCCTGTTGTGTTGGAGTATTTGGACGGACATATTTTGTAGAGTTTTTTCTCCTAGTATTAGAAACTTGAATAAAGATTGTCTTTGTGGGTCTCATGGTCCTAGTTGTTTTCACCAACAGGTGAGTTGGACTGTCTGGAATGAATTGAAATCAAGGATTTTCAGTGTTTACCAACCCAAATAGAACTTTTAGGGATAAGGCTTTTGGAGCAGAGGCTTTGTCGACATAAATCGTGTTCATTGCTCTATCTGCTCCCCTAAGTGCAGTGCCTGGCATTTGGTAGCACTCAGTAAATATTTATGAACAAACGAATGACCAGGTGTTTAGAAGTCTGGGTGAATATGTGATACCATTAGGAGATGTGTCTAAGAAATGTTATATTCTGATGAGTTGTTCTGAGCTACAATAGAGCCATGTGATGTTGAAAGGGTTCTGGCTTTGTTTCTGGTGAGAAGTGGAAGTATTTGGTTTGGAGAAGAGAAGACTTAGGGATCTAGGACTTTTTTTTTTTTTTTAACAGTATAGGAAGGGTTGTTGTATAGAGAGGAACAGACTCATCACTTCCATTGGAAAACGTTATTAGAAAGTATGCTCTACTCCCTTGATAATGGATCAGTATCCTTTATAATTGTATTGCTTGCTGCACCTGTTGTACCAACAGTTACTATAGTTGTAAAAAAGAGGAAGCAAATGGGGGAGAGTTTGGGAAAGAAATGTGAGGAAATGTAATTTAAAGGATATTATTAGGGAAAACTCTCATACTTGCCCAATTTTTTCTAGGTATGGCAAAAGAGAAAAACAGTTCTTCCTATGGTTTTTCGTAGGCAGAGTTTTTGGCTCAGTATCAACAAGACCTTTTAAAATTTTATCTTATGTAAGTAATAAGTACTACTTGCTTTAAAACATTCAAATAATGCAGATAAAGCAAAAGTTTGCCTTGGTTCACTCCTGTCTTCTCATTTAGTTTACTCTCCAGAGGGAACTAACTACTGTTACCAGTTTAGATTGTTCTTCTAGACTTGCACCATCAAGTATCATAGCACCTGTGGCTCTTTAAATTTAAACTAGTTAAAATTAAATAAAATTTAAAATTCTGTTTCTCAGTCACAATAGTCACATTTCAGAGATCAGTAGTCATGGGTGGCTGGTGACTACTGTACTGGGTTGTGCAGGTCCAGAACATTTCCATCATTGTAGAAAGCCCTGTGTAAACTTCCATAGTTTTTTTAAATAAATGGCATCAAAATGTATATGTTCTGCAATTTAAGTTTTTTTTTCATTACGAGTATGGTTTGGGAGTCTTTCCCACTAATGCGTATAGTTTCCTTCATTCTTTTAAAATACTACATAGCATCCTATATTGTTTATAGCACACTGTATTTCTCTATTAACGGATGTTTCCAATTAATTGCTACTACAAACAATGCTAATGGGTGTTTTCTATGCATGTGTCATATTTTTCTAGGGTAGATTTCAAGAAGTGTAATTTCAGAATGGAAGAATGTATATTTGAAAATTTAGAAAGTCCTTTCTAACAATAAGAGCTGTATAAAAATGAAATGAGTTCTTTCTTGAACTAGGGAGCCTCACTGGAAATCATAATTATGTAACTTTGGAATAGGAAAAACCCTTTGATACCATTTGGTTTTTCTCCACTTCTTATACATGAAGATACAGGCTGGAGAAGTGAAATGGCTTGCCCTAAGACATTTTAGGTAGTGAATGGCAGACTCTAGGTTGGAACTCAAAGTGTTTCCAGGTCTAGAGATCTCTTCAACATACTGTGTAAGAGGACCTGAAAAATCTGTTTTCAGAGATTTTATGAAAGAGATTCCTGAATTGTGGGGAGGGTGAGGAGGAGCTTATGTCAGAAGACTGACTTCTAAGCCATTATGAGTCAGAGGCTAATTTAAAATTGGGTCTGTAGGGTTGAATTGTGGTCTTTAAATATAAGAAATTTGAGAAGCAGGGAATGGCTCTTCAAAGGTCAACTATGGGAATAGCATTTTCTTAAGTAATTAAACCTGTTACAGTTGATCTTTGGTTAATGGATTGTTTTGGATGAAGTAAGCTAGCTTCAATCTTTGCTACCTGTTGCTTGTATAACTTAACCCTGCCAAACTGATACCATAATTTTTATATTGTGGAACCATTATGCAACAATTTTACCAATGATAGTAGTGGAATATTTTTCTTTTAAGTAATTACTCTTTGAGTAACTGGGTATATTATGATATTATAACTGGGTATATTATGTATTTAAATTTTAGAGACTTTGTGTGCTGTGTTTAGATATCTTGCTCTTTGTCAGTGGACCTATTTTTTTTTTCCCAAAGGAAACCAGGTGAGAGATCCAAAATCCACCACCATTAGAAAACTGCCTCACTATTTATGCACCCTTGATAATGTGTCATTAGGTGTTAAATCTTTATTTTTATAGCTTTATTACTGACAGATTGCTTTAGTGATCAAGGAAGAGTTTTATAAAAGAAATGTGCTTTGGAGGAAAGGGTATGTACCAGTTCTGTCTTTTTCAGATATGCAAACAAAGATGACAGCAATGGAGATAGGAACCAAAGAAAAAAAGTAATACTGCTTTTTAAAGCTTTGAATGTAGATTGATAGCGCATAAGAGGAACTAAATTACATATGACATTTCATGAATGCTTGACTCCAGGCTCCAGTTCCAGATAACCTCTAGAAGGTATATCTCTGGAGTTCTAGGTATGGTTTTAGTTAGTTAGCATTGAATGAAATGTCCTTAGGAAGTTAGGTTCAAGACTTTTCTTTGCTGAAGAATGCCAAGTAATATAAATTAATCAAGCTACCAAAAGGTGAGATTTATTTTCTTCTCATTTTAAGAGGTCTATAAATTTTGGTGCGTTGTACTGAGTAGCTGTCAAGGGGGTAACCTTTAGCTTTTCTTTGCCAGCTTGAGGTATATTGGTTGTATAAGTGATAAGGAATGTAAGAGAACATAATTGAAGGCAAGCATTTAACATTAGTATAGTTGTTTCTTAAAAAGTTGCTTAACTTTGGCTAAGTATCCTATTTTATGCTTATTAAGAGTCTTACCCAAGTCTTGGCCATTTTGGAGCCCAAGTGGTGTGGTAAGAAAGTAGATAGCAGCAGGGAAGGGAGATTGGTTACATACATATGTATATGTGCATTTATATTTCCTAGTTCTGCCACTTAGAGGGCCTTGGAGTAGCAATACCCAATAGCAATAAGTACACTTAGCGTACACATCTTAGCTTCTAAATGCTGTTCTCCAGTTAAAGGAATCAGTGCTCTATGGAGAAATGGCCGATTCCAGAGC